CTAACAAAGCCAAACCCATTTTTTGTTGTTTCGTCTTTTCTCTTCTTCAAATATACTTGAAAAAGAGATTGTGGATTTTGCGTTTTTATGTTGCTTCTAAACTTTTTCATTGTTGTTGAAAATCTGGGTTCGTTTTTCAACTTAGTGATCTAGGTTCGTTTTTGTGCTTTTAGTGTTCACATTGGTCAATGAAGAAAAGCAGCAGAAGATGAAGCTAAAGCACACTAGACGAGAATGCATAGTTTTGCTATTTTGTAGGCTAAAGACACTGCTTTTAATTTTATATAAAATTTTATTTTAATTTTTTAATTTTATAAAATATTTTTTTCAGACCTGTAGCTTTAATGCTAGTAGTTTCATCACAAAAAAAATTTACATTAAACTTTTAAATATTAATAAAATATTTTTAAATGTTGATATATTAAATTTAATTTTTTTAAAAAATAATAATGATTGAGAAAAAATATCATTTAAGACTAACGGTGTTATAGTTAAAAAACTAAAAATATACTTTTTAAAATTAAAAAATCAAATTAAAACATTACATAAAGTTAAACTATTAAAACTATACTTTAGCTTGTTTTTTATTAACCAATTGTCAACCTTATCATGCCGCTTGTACATCTATTGGTCAAACAAAGTTTTTAACAGTCAACTCGAAGCTTGATTGCACTGATTTTGAAAATTCCAAAGTGAACTTATTTTTAAAAAAAAATTAAGATACTAAATGCTTATTGTTAAAAAAGTATGAAGTATTTTTACCCTTTAACCCTATATAATTTTATATATTTTAATAAAGATAGTATTATCTTTACATACTAATTATAAATTACACTCAACTCTATTTTAAAAGATTTGATTGTGGTTTTTAAATTTTGCAAAAGTAATTTATAGATAAGTGGTATGCGAAACCAATACAAAAGTAATCACAATATTATATTCTGTGAAATATATGAAATGATTAATTAATTTATATACTTGCACTGATGCCCATGGTTTATAATGTAGTAACTATGCTCCATTCACTTAGTTGAATTTGTGGCAGTGGCATCATGGGTTGAAACAATTAACACCTAGTGGGATAATTATTTTTTCTTGTTATATGAATTGAAACTATCATCTAGGCCATGATGGTTATTTAGAATTTTGGATTGGTATAACTTATCTTTCAAATGGATATTGACTTGAAAATGACAAGTGATATGATTTTCAGTGTGAAGGAATAGGATTTAGCATTCCTTAATTTGTCTTGTTTGGATGTTTAGCTGCTCTTACTGTGACCATCAAGGTGTGATATAATTGTTTTTCCTGGTTAAATCTGAAAACTATTTTTGCTCATTTTGTGCAGTTTTATGTACAGTGTGTCTTGTATTTGGTCTAGCATTTCCAATTGCAATCTTCTATTAAAAATAAATAACATGTTCCATTTGCCATTCTCATATTAGGGGTGAAGTGGTTGATAAAAGCTGAAACTTGAAGGGATTTGAGAATACATTTACGTGAATGAACTTCTGACTGTTAATTCCATCTGGGGTGTGAAAACTTGGTGTTCAGAATGTTACTTTAGTTGGCAGCATGCCAGGGCGCACCATTTTGTTCCTTAAGTTCTCTCTTTTTGCTTGGTTTTCTGTACACTATTGAATAGCTGCCATATCTAACTTGTGGAATATATGATAGAATTGTTGTATTGTATTGTAATGATTTTGATTTATTTGAATAATTTTTATTTAAATTTATCATAAATTTTAATTTAATGTAATGTTAACATCATGTGGGCTTAATATAGGCTCAAAGCATATATAAATGCAGGTCTTGATAGGCTCAAAGCCTACGTAAAACCTTTAAGGCCTGACTCAAGAAGCCTTTTCTTGAATTACAAGCAGTGGGCCCAGAAGGTGGGCCTTTTGTGAAATTACCGGCAGCCACACAATTAATGCTGACATATTCATGGTCCTGTATATTCTAATTCATTTGTTTGTAAATGCCTTTTTTTTTTTCCTGGTTTTGCAGCGATCTTGGTGATTGTTTTCCTCTGTTATACGCCTAGTGACTGTCTCATTAATTTAGAGGAGGATCGGCATAGCTTGAAAGCTTCGTTTTTGGTGTAGTTCATGTTATTTCTGGTTATTTGCTTCTTCTTTCCCTAAAGGTTTGTTTCAATTTGAAAGCTTGCTTTTGATGACTTTAAGGTGAATATAGAGAATTTGAAATTTAGAAATAAGCAGGGCCTTAGATCGAACAAAATTGATCTCAATATCATTTGATTCATCTCATCAATTTTGACCAAGTATTCTTTAAAAATGAATCATGTTAACCATGATATATCACTCTTGACTCAATAGATTGATAATACAATTAGTGTTAGTAGCGGATATAACTATATATAAGGGTGGGCAAATACCCTCACTCAACTTGAAAAATTTGCAAAGAGTAGGTGAAACTTTTAAAAATTTACCCCTATTACTCAATAATTTTGAACCCAAACCCAAATTAAAATATAGAAAAAATGTAACTTTAAATATATACATTTTGTTATAATTCCTTACACTTTTTTTGATATTCTAAGTTCTTATACTTTTATTTTTTTAGTGTTATAGGTCCCTCCATGAACAAAATGCAAGGACTTTAAAAGGATCTAGAACACCAAAAAATAAAAGTATACGAATTTAGAACACACAAAAAAGTGTAAAAATCTATAACAAAACATAAACAAAATGCAGGGACTTGAAGTTATATTTTTTCTAAAATATGTTTGAGTTAAATTTTTTTTGGATCTTTTATATTTCACTTAAGTGTCGAGTTAAAAATAAGAGCCATGCCTAAATATCAAGTTTGGAAGCCCGGTTTAAATGAGGATTTAAGCTTTAAAAATTAATTTTTTTTAAAGTAACTACGCTTGAGGGCTTAGTCTTGATAAGCTATGTGAAAAAGAGCTCAGACTCGAGCGGCCTTGATAAGCCCAATTATCTCTCTCTCTCACACACACACATATTTGATTGATAATGACACAATTTAGTTAATATTTATTGTGAGTGATGAAGAAAAAGTTGCAAAAATAATTGACATTAAATCTCTACTTCTCTCTTCAACAAGCGCACATACATTTGAGGGATTTAATATTTTTTTTATTTTTAGATGACAATGTGAAAGATTTAGATTTATATTAATAAAGATTTTAATCTTCATCTTAAATTTAAAATTTTAAATCCTTGTCAAATTTTATATTGAATTTTAAAGTATTCTGTTTAAATTAAAATTTTGAATTTTTTTAAAACCTTATAAATAAGAATCGAGCCTCAAAATTAGGTCAAATTTTAAGTAATTAGGCTTTAACGCCTAAGCCTTTAAAGGCCAGGCTTACCTTGATTCTCACCTTAACTTAAGTGTAGTAAATTTTAAATTTTGAATCAATTATATTTAAATTTAGATTAATTTATAAAAATATCATTTTAATTTTTATTTTCTAATATTATTTTACAAATCTAAATATTTATTTTATATTAACTTATTTTTTTTAATATTTTTATATTGCCCAAGGTCTTTGATTAGTGTGAAACCTATATGTTGATGCTATGATGGAATGAAATGCTAATGTAAACTTGCTGCGAGTAAATAAAGACAAAGTAAACGTTAGCAATGAAAATCCACTGTGGACACTAAAAGATAATTATCATATACTATTTGTACAATAAACTCATGAATAATACAAATTACTTAAAGTTGAAAGTGCGGAATAAAATCGTAACAAAGCACATTTATTTATATTGATACAGTATTTACTTTGAAGGGGAAGTTGTATTTAAACTGTCAATCTAATTTAATCACCAAATATTGAAGTCTAAACAAATCTAACTTAAAAGCTTCTTATTATTAAATATTGATACATATGATTTACTCTTCAGAAAGCAAATATAGTATCATGATAACAAAAAATATAGCATCTTAGCAAGAGGCCAAAAAAAATTGTTGTATATTAAAGAATATTCTGGAGAATTAGTATAGTATTTATTTTGTGATCAGTGATATCAATTTTTAATATAATGATAAAAAAGAAAATCAGAGTAAAAAATTACTCAAATAAATTAATCATAAAGAAAGACTAATAAAGACTTTCATTTCAAAAAACCAAGTGTACGTTTTTATTTTAACAATAATTTATTTTATATTTAGCATTTATCATAGTATGTGAATGAATTGCTTGATTGATTTTTGAATGTAATTTTTTCTAAAAAATTTATGTATAATAATCATTTTTCAACTGTGCATCCTTTCCCCTATTTTTTTTGGAATCAATCACACCTTTCCTTGTATATTATATATGTATTGACAATTTATTAGATGTATACTCCCTTCATTTAAAAATATAAGATATTTTTAATTGAATCTCAAACTTTAATAAAGTAGTTATCTACGTTTCAACTAACCATATCTTTATATATTTACTCTTATTAAACACCCTACAATAAATATAAAATTATTATTAATATGGACATTTTTTAAAAAAAGACAATGATTACATCTCAAACGACTAAAAATGTTTTATATTTTTTAACATCCAACTCCTTAAAAAATACTTTATATTTTTAAACGGAAGGAATAATATACATCATTCTCATTGAATCTTTATTATAAACGATTATTTAATTAAATAATTATTTATACACACACTCTTTATTATATAATTGAAATTTTCAAAAATCATTAGCATACATCAATAATTTTTTATTCAATTTTTTAAATAAAATATTTATTATTCTATTTGAAAAAGGAACAGGTCACGTGTTACATTTTGGAACATGCACAAAAGAGTAAAGAGATTCATATATTATCCTTTATACATATAATGATATTCGAGATCAAAAAACCTAATTCAACATAAAATTATTTCAAACAAAAAGGGATGTAATTTGTTTTTTGGCCCATAAAATTTTGTTTTTTCGGCCAGCACTTACCCATAAAAATGTTAACAAAACGTGATTGCTCAAGCAAAGGCTGTCTTCCAAATGCTGTCCCCGCTTATCGACCTTCGCATCTCTCCCAGTAGCAGCACGAGTGTTTTGGCGAAGTATCTAAAAGCTGATGATGTTTTGTAGAGTTTCAAGGTATGCCTTCCCCAAATTTCTTCTCTTCTCTGTATCGTCTTCGTCTTCATTACTTCTTTCTCCTTCAATTGCCCTAACTCTCCACTTCTGTCTCCATTCCAATTCCACCCATCCTCGGAGCGTTGAGGAGGTTATCTCTTCTTTTAATCGCTTGCTTCATGTGCGCCCTCCACCCTCTATTATGCAAATTAATAAGATTTTAGGATCTGTTGCAAAGTTGAAACATCATCGAACTGTTATCCCCCTTTTCGCACAAGCGGAATCCAAGGGATTCACGCCAGATTTAGTCACTCTTAGCATCTTGATTAATTGTTACTGCCATGTGGGTCAAATGACTTTTGCTTTCTCTTCCTTGGGGAAGATTCTCAAGATGGGCTGTCAACCAAATACGATTACTCTGACTACACTTATGAAGGGCTTTTGCATCAATAATGACGTTGGGAACGCCTTAGATTTTCATGATGATCTTATAGCAAAAGGGTTTCAGTTAAATGAAGTTAGTTATGGCACCCTCATTAATGGGCTTTGTAAGTCTGGGAAAACAAGATGTGCGGTCAAATTGCTCCGAAAGATGGCCAGAGGGCAGGTTAAACCTGATTTGATCATGTATAGTACAATTATTGATGGCTTTTGCAAGGAAAGACTGATAAATGAAGCAAGTGATTTATTTCACGAAATGATTGACCATGGAATTTCTCCAAATGTTGTGACCTACAATTCTCTGTTATATGGTTTTTGTTTCATGAATTACTGGTCAGAAGTTGCAAAATTGTTTAATCAAATGATAATCAAAGGCATGAACCCTGATGTTCATACTTTTTCTATATTGGTCGATGCATTTTGTAAGGAAGGAATTGTAACCAAAGCTGAAGCTATTGTTGGCATGATGGTGAAGTATGGTATAAAACCCGATGTAGTTACTTACAACACTTTAATGGATGGGTATTGTTTGATCAATAATCTTGGTGAGTCAAGGGAATTGTTCAATAAGATGGTCAAGAGTGGTTTGGCTCCAGATATTATTAGTTATAATATTTTGATTAATGGACTTTGTAAAATCAAGATGGTTGATGATGCCTTCAACCTCTATAAAGAAATGAAGCGTAGAAATTTGTTCCCCACTATTGTCACATACAGCTCTCTTGTTGATGGTTTGTGCAAATCAGGGAAATTGTCACTAGTGCAGGATATTATTTATGAGATGCATGCAAGTAGTTGTGCCCCTGATATCATATTTTATAATATCTTATTTGATGGACTGTGCAAAAGTCATCATCTTGATGAGGCGATTGCCTTATTTCAGAGAATTGTTCACCAAGGAATTCGGCCTAGCATGCATACGTACACTATACTTATCCATGGTTTGTGCAAAGATAATAGAGTAAATGATGCGTGGCAGATTTTTCAATATCTCTTGGCTAGTGGCCATCCTTTAAATGTCCAGGCTCATAATGCTATGATCAACGGACTTTGTAAAGAGGGTTTGTTTGATGAGGCAAAGGCCTTGCTGTATAAAATGAAAGAGAATGGGTGCTCACCTAATTTTGTAACTTTGGATACAATTATTAGACCTCTTTTGGAAAAGGGTGAGAATGATAAGGCAAAGGATCTTCTTGATGAAATGCTCACTAGAGGTTGGCTATAGTGATAAAAGAAAGTTAGATAGTTTTCTCCCCATCTATTTAACTGTTGATAGTTATGTTTAGATATTATGTTTGATACATACATAATTAATGAGTGTACTTTTAAATATTCAGCTTTCATTCTTCTTGTATTTGCATGTGCTTTTAAAGATTTATGCCAGCTGATGCAACATTGGAAGGTTGCTAGCATGGCATATGCATGCCAGACTCAGCACCAATGGGTGGTTGGGGTACATGTGAATGGAGGCTGTCAATGGAATTGGGGTTTATTTCAACATAGATTTCCCAAAGCACTTGTAAAGATTTCAACATAAACTCCTCCTTGTAATGATCAAATTGAAACTCTTCGTAATTGGATTCACTTATGCCATTAGCTTAAGTGTACTGTTGCTTCTGCTTATGAAGCCTGAATGAAGCACGGCTCATGGTGCCATTTGTGAGCTATGTCATGCTGCAGATGAAGATATAGTCCATATACTTAGAAAATTCACTCTGGCTTTCTCTAGTTGGCACATTGTTGTTCCTCACTCTATCCATTTGTTCTGTGGCATATATTAGGTAGCCAAGGGAACTATGATTTTTTTGTTTTTTATTAATTTTTTGTTTTAAGGAATATTAGGCTTCTCACTGGCTTATGTTGGTTTTCTTCGGCATGCCTTTTCTGAAACGGATGAAAGTTAACCTTAATCCTAAGAGTAGAAGCCAACAGTGGAGAGTAGCATTTGGCATCATTTGTTGTTGAATTATGTTGGATCTCTTCAGGAATGGATGAAAGTTAACGTTAATCCTGAGAGTAGAACTGTTGAGAGTAACATTTGGCATCTTTTGTTGTTGGAAGCTGTGCACTGCTAAGAACTGCAGGATTTTTGCCAATGAATCACACACTGCTTCATTGTCTAGTGAAAGAATCCCTTGTCATCGCTCACTACACAATCAAGGCCTGTGACTTGAATCACCTTTCACTTACTGTGAGTGGCTCTTGACTTTTTTGGCGCTCCTCTCCTCTCCCCATTCTCTCTGTTTTTTATTTAAATCTGAATCTGATTTATAGCTGGGGTTTTTGCTTCCTGGGCTAACTTTATGTAATTATTTTTTAAGTAATGATTATTGTATTTGATTTTGATCAAATGAGACTCGAAGGCATCAATCCTAATGCCTGTATCTTTTTATTTTGTAAAGAAGGAAGCTCCACCAAAACTGAAGCTATTGTAGACATGATGATGAAGCACAGTGTAAAACCCGATGTAGTTACTTACAACACCTTAATGGATAGGCACTTTGTGATCAATTATCTCTATGAGTCAAGAGAATTGTTCAATAAGATGGTCAAGAATGGTTTGGTTTTAAACAAAAAAAAAAAAAATCAATCTATCCATATTAAAAGGCTTCAATTTTAAAAGATATTTATCATCTCATATGCAGTTTCTTACCCTCCTGGTATGAATTTGAGAAAGTAAAATTTAAAAAAATTAATAATTTATCTTTTATGCAAAGTGACTTGTAAAACGATCATCAATTTTTTCCCCCTCTAGAATGTGACTCATATATGAAACTTGATGGAGTGTTTTTTTTAGGTTAATGGATATTCTTCTATTGCATAACATTGAGCATAGCATCGTTGAACTACAAGGGCTTCGGCTTGCATGGCATTGCTTTCGTCCAACATAAATATTAGTTTGGCAATGTTTTTCGTGATCGAAATTGATAGAAAATTTAAAGTTTTATATCATTCAATAAATAAGTGCGCGCGTGCGTGTATGTAAACTATGAATATTGTGATTTCAAATCCTCTTTTACCACCACAAGGCCAAATGACCCAAGTACTAATAACGTATTTTGTATTGATTATTTCATCTTGTCCCTTAATATTTGATGTTAAGCATCCTACCATTAAGAATAGTTTGAATAAATGCATCGAGATGTAAAATAATAATAATTAAAATTAATAGTCAAAACAAATTACCTAAGTTAAAAAGAAGAAGAAAAAGAAGGCAAAGAGATCATGTAAACAAAACAATATAAAAAGAAACAAAGCAAATTAAAAAAAAAAGAGACAGTGCAAATAGAAAAAGAAACAATATTATATATATAATAGGTTAAAGTATATGTTTAATCCTTTAAATTTACATAGTATTTCATTTTAGTCTCGTAACTTTATAAAGTGTTTTTTTAATTTTTTAATCATAACATTATTAATTTTATTTTGACAAATATTTACATTAAAATTTTAAATATTGACAAAATATTTTCAATTGTCGACATATAAAGTTTAATTTTTTTTAAAATAACAATGATTGATATAAAAAATAATTATTTAAAGCTAACAATGTTAAAATTAAAGGATTATAAAGATATTCTACAAAATTAAAGGATCAAATTAAAATTTTATATAAAGTTAGAGGACTAAAGGTATACTTTAACTTATAAAGAGAGAGAGAGGCAAGGCAATGGATTGGGAATGGGGTTTTTTTTTTTTTTTTTCCCGGCCGAAATTGAGAATGGGAGGGTTATTGATACATATATAGCAATCTTGCAGTGAAAGGGAGTCAGGAGGCAATTGCAAATCAACTAAAAGGAAAATAAATAGAAAAGCATTAGCAACAGGGCATTCAACAAAAGGGGAAAAAAAAACGACAAAAAAACTAAGCAAGGGACAGAAGCAATCATGCTTGAAATGGAGAAAAATGTAGGAGAGTCAGGAAGCAAGAAAGATGGCGGGAATATGAAAATAACTGAGTAAAAATTTTCTAATAGGGTTAAAAGTTAGAGGTAATTTTATATGCCTAAAAAATGAAAGCACCACTAACTCAGTAATCATTATAAGGGTTCTTACAATTTGCAGCACTTGAACGATGCCTTTTTTTTAAAAAAAAAAAATCCAGGCATATGTATGATATGTTTCACATATAAAATGTCCTTTTTTTTTCGATTTTATTTTCCTTTTCATTCTATTCCATTACATAAACCAAAGGAGCTAACAATATCAATAAAAAAGCATGCTTGATAGCAATAGTGAGCATAGCAACTTTCTTACCCTTGCCATATAAGAGAAACATGACCTTTGGTCACCATGGCTTCTTCCCAAAAGGCATCATCTTCATGGAGGTTCACAGGGCAAGAGACAATAATTTGCAGTGCAGAGCACAACAAAGATCCAAGAGTTGAGTTGTGAGTTTCATGGTTTATTTTGTTTTATTTTTATCAAAAATATCTTCCACAATAGAGACAAATCTTTCTTAGAGTATACAGGCCCCTTATTCATGGTAGCTTTTAGAGGGATCCCTTCTTGTGAATTATTTTCTAGTTATATTGAAATTTCATATCACCAAATAAACATTTTTTATTATTTAAATTTTTGAAATTAGTTTGAAGTTTTAGTTTTTGAATTCAAATCAACATGAAGTATTATTTTTGTATATGGTAGATTCGATAATAGTTTTTTGTGGTGAATCATAACAATTTTGATATAATTTAAATAAATTTATGATGTGTTAGTTTTGCTTTAAAATATTTATTTGATTGCATCTTAAGCCGATCTGCTTGCATTCAAGTTATTTAGTCCTCCAACACAATTTTGACCCCAATGAGGAGCATAACTTTTCTAAACATTTGATGAATATATTTAGAGTAAAATACAATGGCATCCTTTTGAGTTCGTTAAAATTATAGAAACTCCTTTCTATTTTTAAATCTTACCCTTCAATATATTTCCTAACACTGTTAGGAACATTACTTTTTTATTTTATCTGATGTGGCAATTTTCATCTTAAGCTGATGAATATTTTTTATTTTATCTAATGTGGGTTTTTTTATTTTTTAATTAAAAAATCCAACTCAACACCTATTTGATACATTAGCACAAACTTAACAGTGTTAATAGGCACGTCAATAGTCTTTACATCATTTATGCCACATCAATATCCTTCTAAAATTATAAAAATTAATATTGTAGATGGAAAAAAGTATATACAATTGAAACACCAAAAAAAAAAAATATAAGGACTTGTAACAAAACTCGAGAAAAATATAAAGTCAAAAGTAGTGTTTTTCCTATTTTTTAATATCTATAGTATTGGTATAACAAATTCTTAAATTGAACAATTTTTTATATAATAAAGGAAAAATATATTTGTTGGTCCTCATAATTTCTTTCAAGTTTGAATTAGGTCGCTGAAATTTATTTTGTTTTACTAGAAACTTTATAGTGGTTTGTTCCATTAGATTTTTTAATATCAATCCTTGATTGGTGCAAGTAACAAGAAGAACAAACAAGGATGAACATTCAAAGAGAACGAATTTGAACATGATGCTAGAATTGAAGGAGCTATGTTTGAGGTTGCAAATGTAATTAAAGAAGAAAATGCTATAATTACAGAGAACTACTACCTATCAATGTCAGCAGAATAACCTTTGAAGATGATTGAAGGAACCGGGTGTGATATTGACAAAATTTTTGATATATATATATATATATATATCGTGAATGATCTTACCAAGTTTAGAGTTATTATTGTTTGTTTGCCAAGAGCAATAGAGCATGCAATATGAAGATGTCCAGTGGTTGTTAGATTAGCATGTAGTTATATGTTTAAATTATTATTTTGTTAATATATTGCTGTATGCTCCATGATTTAGTCTTTTATAGGGAGGGTGTCTCTTTTTTATCGTGGAATTTGTTTGTGTCGTGATTTTAATATTTTATTAATATTTTGTTATATGGCCTTTGATGGAGCATCACATTCGCTGTTTACTGTGGACTGAATATTATCATGATAAAGATATAGCTAATGTATACAATTCATTACAAGCTCTAATTGCCCCATTATATATATATATATATATATTCAATGCATGCGTTTACGGCTTCTTATTGGTTTTTATGATGAAAAAAAATGGTGTCTTCGTAGTGCAATTGGGAAGCTCATCAATGCATTTGTGTAATATATATATATATATATATATAATATTATATTTTAGGGAAAACATAGCTATATGTTCCTATAATTTTAACATGTTTTGATACAAATTCCTGTACTTTTATTCATTGTTTCAGTTTCCTTTAGTTTATCCCATGCACAATATTAATCCTTCTATTTTTTAATATATTCAAAAGAATAATGAGATGATACTAACAATATTAAATATACTAACTTATGACTAATATCATTAATATATCTGATGAAGCAAAATTATGCTTCAACAAAATGAAACCTGAAACGTGAAACAAAATAAGTGAACAATGTTGTTAATTTGCCGAATCATAATTTCGCTCAACATAGGTTAATTGTATTAGTTATAGGTTAATATATTTAACATTGTTAGTGTCATTTCCTCATTTTTTTAGGCATATTCAAAAATAGTAGGACTAATGTTGTAAATGGAATAAACTAGAGGGATTTGGAGCAACCAAAATAAATAAATAAAAACTAATGGGGCCTATAACAATTCAAGTTAAAATTATATGGGTCAATAGTTATGTTTTTTCTATGTTTTATAATTTTTGACCATTTATAATTTAGCTCACATTCTATTTTTATTCTTATCTTTGTAAAATGTATAGGTATATTTTATTAAGTATTTTAAAAAGTAAGGAAAAAATAATTTTAATAAGGTAAATGTATAGTTGTCTATATGTTATTATTTATCTTAAACCAAGCAATGACCCTTTCTCCCCCGAACCAAATAGAATGTTTTAGTCTATTTTCTCTTGGCTTGACCCGGATGATTCTTCCTCGTTATTAGTCCTTTCCCTTTCTCTTTTCCTCTTTTATTTTTATTCTTTCGCCTTTATGATTATTTTCTAGGGAGTCAAAATTTTTTTTCCCTTTTTCTACCTATGGGGGGCAAGATTTAGCTACAAAGTTTGTATAACCAATTTATAAAGAATGGCTTCAAACATTTACAAGGAGATAAATAGGGAAAATGACAAACAAATTTTTTTAGAATATGTAAATGACAATGAAGTCCTGCAAAATATTATAATTTATCCTAAGTTTTTAAGAATCTTTGTGGTATTAATAATTTTTGATGAAATGACTAAAATATCTCTAGTTTAAACTAAAAAATAAATGTTTATTTTGTTTTAGTCATTGTAAAAAAAAATAGTCATTACTTAAATTAAAGTAATCATGGATATTTACAACACTTCATCGAATAAAAAATTTGCATGGAAAAAATTATAATTGTTTGTTTTGTTCTGCTTATTATCAAAAGAAAAGTAATCATTATTTAAATTGAGATAGTAATGCATATTTACAACACTTGAACTTTAATAAATAAAAAAATTGCATAGGAAAAAGTTGTAATTGTTTATTTCTTTTAGCTATTGTTAGGGAAAAAAATCATTTTTTAAACTAAAATAGTCAATATTTACAATATTGAATTTCAATAAATTAAAAATTTACATAAAAAAATTGTAATTACTTGTTCTACTTTAATCATTATCAGGAAAAAATAGTCCTTACTTAAATTAAAGTAATTATTGATATTTTTTTGGAATTAGAGTTGTTACTTTTTTATTATTTTAACTTAGAGATATTTTAGTCATTTTATTAAAAATTATTAATATTATAAAGGTTTATAAAAGACTCGAGAAGAATTATAAAATTTTGTGAGATTTCATTATTAATTACATATTTCATAAAAAATTTTCTATCATTTTTTCATAAATATTTGGGGGGTGGGGGAACACCCTTGCAGGGTAGTCGGTCACAACTCACAAGCCTAGATTTTATGCTGCAGGCCAAAAGAAACCCATATCTAAACAAGCCTCATTTTTTATAACACAATTTGCCACTTTTTGTAGGTTAATGAGTTGAGCCCACTCATTAACATGATTTTGGTTATAAAACATAAAAAATAATATTAAATTGGATATTTTTCAAACTCCAAAGTACATAGTCAATTTATAAAAAATAAAAAAATAATATTAAATTGAATCATTCAAATCAAATCTATATTATCTAAATTAATTATTAACAGACTTATTAAAAATATTATTTTTTTTATAAATTTTTATTTTTAATAAAACATGATTGTGTGTTTACAAAGGAGAAACTTTTTTATACACTTATTTGTTACCAGCCATTAGATAAGAATTCATGGTCAGATTTTTTCACTTTCCATCATGATCCATATATGTTAATGGGTGATAAGGAAGACCCAGGGCTTAGGACAGTAATTTCCATTGCACTTAAGAGGGGACCTGCGTTCGCACGTTCATAGCCAGAGGCAATGGGGGCCGTGCGAACCAATGTAGTTTCAATGATTTATTTTTGGTTATATTTAGGTGAGAAGTGACATAAAACCACCTTTCCTTGCATTATATAGTTTTAATTATCTGCTACTGCTATTTTTCCCCTTTTATTAATCTACAAAAAAAAAATTATGTAGTTTTATGGTGAATAGTTCTTACTGTTTTTCCTTCCCTCGCAAGTTCCTTACTATCATGTATTTGCATCTGTATAGGACTCATGGTGGGAGGTTTACCTTTGAGTTCATATCAGAATCCACGTGACTTAATTGATGGAACTACTTGATACTAATATGCATCCATGAGTTTATGTTTCAGTTTGTGTTCTTCTTCAGTCAATATGGCCATGAAGAGCTAGCATTTCCTTTGAATGAGAAGCCGAAGTAGCAGGTTATAGTCCCACATCGTTCAAAAGCAAAAACATGTGTGGGGGAATGGGCTATAAAACGGGAGCTTGACATTCGTTGCAACATACTTACCTGGACGGGGTCAATGGGTGATCTGGAAGGCCCATGGCCTAGGACAGTAACCTCCATTGCACGCTGGAGGGGTGCTGTACTAAGGTCTGTCCAAGTGGCAGAGCCTACGTCATAATTTGTGGTAGCTGGGGCCTGCGTTCGCGCGGCCCCTCCCCAATAAGTTTTAATTCGTTGTATTGTTTTGAATTTGAAGAGTCAGTTCGCGCGTCCCCTGTCCACTGTAGTTTGGGCTGTGTAAAATTTTTGTGGTATTTGGGTTGATTCAGATCGGTTTTATTAATTTATTTAATAAAATTATAATTAATTTATTTTTTATTAATTTATTTAATAAAACTATGATTAATTTATTTTTAATTAATTTATTTAATATAATTATAATTAATTTATTTTTGATTAATGTTTTAAGTGTAATTGATATTAAGGAAATGATTGTATGTTAGATTTATTGAATTTGTTTTTAAATTATTGTTAGAATGTAGTGTTGTTGAAGTTTATTAAGTGTTGTTTTTATTGAAATTATAAATTTAAATCATTTAAACTATAACATAAATATTTTTTATTGTTAAAAATTATTATGAATTTATTATTATTATAAGTATTTTTATTATCTTAATTAAATTTATTAGGTTAAAATAGATTATCGCTTTTCATAAAGGAAAAGGGAAAAAAAAGTTAAGCGAGTACTAAACTAACAGGGCCAGTCTGTCAATCCTATGGACTAAGTCCTGTCTTGTTAATCTTCAGGTTATTACTAGACAAAACTAGACTACAAGTTACCTAACACAATCCTTTTATGAAAGAGACTAGACTTTAGGTTAGGCTGAAGTCCAATGTCATCCAATTCTTTGTGCACCCAGTCTCAACATATTTTTTACACTATACTGCATGGTATCTTGGATTCCTTGCTCGATTTAGACTAAATCTGAACCCCTATTTTGGAAACTTCACTGTGGTTACGGGTACTGATGGAGTGATCTCTTTGATATCACTTTAATTATCACGTCTGTCACTCCTCAAGGTTCGAACCTTCACCTTAAGGAATGCTGGTAGTAGCCCTTACCAACTCTATTGAGCACCTATTGATTTTTTTTTTTGGGTACTAGACCATCTGATATCTTGAGGTATCCTGAGTTCATTGCTCACCTTAGGCTAAATCTGGACCTTCGTGTTGGAGACTGTACGATGGTTATGAGTATCAATAGGACGACCTCTTTGAAATCTCTTTAATTATCGTGTTTGTCACTTTTCAAGATTTGAACTTTCATCCTAAAAAATTATCAACTCTATCGAGTGCCTATTAATTTTTTTTGTTTTTTTGAAAGCGAAAGGGGAGCTCTCTGTGCTCATTGTGCGGTTCCAACTAAAAGGGGGGAGTGTTCCGCGTTAGGACTTAGATCTAATTGATATTCAAATGACCACTATTCCACAATGTGGACTTAGGTTGGGGCTAATGCTTGAGTGGACTGCTAAACCCAACAGTTACTTTACAAATTGTGAGATCCAAGGAACATTCATGCCCACCTTCTTTGGTGGCATTCTACAATTACCTGCTATTTTCTTTCCCCCTTAACTAATCTCCAAAAATTTATGTAGTTTTATGATGAATAATTCTTATTGTATTTCATTCGCCTGCAAGTTCCTCACCATCATGTATTTGCATCTGCATATGACTCGTCGTGCGTGGATATCCACGTGACTTAACTGATGGAATTACATGATATTAGTATGCATCCATGAGAAGTTAACTGTTGAGATCGGAATTATCTGAGACATGCTTGGCAATTATCATTTCACAGGCACATAGGTTATGTTATATAGCTATACTACAGCATAGGCACTTGCATATTTCATGGTCATTTATTTTGCACATAAATTAGTCCTACGCGTTTTGTGATTGAGTTTTAGACTCTTTTCTTGCTTATAACTTTTTTCTCTCTCCTTTTCTATCTGTCTCCTTTTCGTTTATATTTGAATCGAATATGTATCATTGAATCTATACTTTGACCAAAGAACAAAAGGGGAAAAATTGATATGCTTTGGCTGTAAGAATTGTCTGAACTGTCAGATTTTTGTATGGCTGATACGGGGATAGTCCTCTAGTGTGTTAGAGAATAGTGGGAAGTATGAGTTTGTACTTTTAAACTCTCTTTTTTCCCCCCTCTCTTCACTTGATCATCGTTCAAGTTACGTAGTTTATAGCTTATAAATAGTGGCACTTCTTATATATTTTATTATATGCATTACTATATTGATTGTTCCTTTTTTTAGAAAAATATTAGGCTGTTGAAAATGGGCAATATGGCCTTGTTGTATGCTTGTGTCTTACATTAATTATTCAACTAGAAAAGTTGAAAAACATGTTGCGTGCACGATGGTCCTGAAAGCGTTCTCATTCAAGAATGAATATGGCTTTGGCTGGTGAGAAAACTGGCACACTAGTGCTCTGTTTCTGACTTTTGCACGAGAGCTACTATGACCTAAGAGAGAAGATAGGCAGGAGTAATGAGGAACATTATTACTATTATTTATTATTGACAACATTGGAAGTTTGTGAAATGTGTCTGATCTAATTTCTTTCATCTTGATGCCTCTGTTATAAAGGTGTTGAGGTTTTTTTTTCCCCGTCTGAAGAAAAGCATTGCATATGAACATATATCAAATAAATGATAAGAATGAAGCTTACGTTGGATTATTTTTGGATTAGCATTAATCAATTGTAAAATTCTAACCAATATAATATTGTGAATATTAGTAATCTTTATGTTATATTGTGCACTATTTTAAAATGGACCGGGTCTTAATGAATAAACCATAATAGGTTGGAATATTTGGTTTGAGTATACTGGAAGAGATTCTAACTCACTGAGCATATATGTTATCAGCGATCCTATTTAAACTGACAGGGGCATTTTGGTCATTGGATTATATGACAAGCAATTTACATATATATTTGCTTTTGGCCCAGCAAGTGTATGCTTGCTTTCAGTGTGCTTCATGTGGCTTGCTTCTTTCCTTAAGTTGAATACTCTCTCAATCAGTACATTCTCACTTTATCAAACATTGATTTATAGCTGCCATGGACCTCAGCATGTTACTAGGTAATTATCCTAATCCATTTTTATCATTATTTTACTTCAGTTTATTAATTAGATGAGGTTGTTTAGTTAGTTAGAGAATATCAAAGCAAAGGATATTTAGGGGGAAAAAAACAATGGTCTATCTTCTATTAATGATTATAAAGTAGGTTCTTATACTAAGGGCCAAAGGGAGTAAAAAATGTTGAAAAAATTAACGTGTAAAAGGTGTCCCTTGTTATGCTGGTTGTGTAAACTGTAAACAATAGGTGTAAAAAGTGTTTTCGCCCCTTTTTCTATTGGCATATCATACCACTTTTTACATTGAACAATGAACTGACTGGATATTTTTACATCAGTTGGAGAATCAGCGTAAACGGCTAAAAAATTTGTATAATAATGTATGGTAGATCAAACAAGCCCTAAAGATACTCTACAACCTGAATGGGAATATAGTTGGCCGGAGCACAATAGTCCACAGGATTCTTGCTCACCAAACGGCCAAGCTTCTTTCTCTGACTTGGTGCAGAGAACTACTATTTTGGTAAGATGAGAAGCTACTTTACTTGTATATAAAATTTACATTTACACTTTGATTTCAAACCTTGCTCTACCATTTTCTTCTCAAACACCTAGAGATTCGATTACAAAATTCATCCCGATTAACGAGGTGAGATATTTATATTTTTCTGTGGTAGTTTCAGTGAAAACATATATTATTCTTATTATTAGTAGTTACATATGTAGCAGTGATTTGGGTCTGATGAGTTTGAATGGAATTGTAAATCTGAGGGAAAGTAGAATCCAAAGCGGCCAGCCAACCATGTGTCATTAAGTCACATGGTATTTCAGATAAAAATCAATCTCTGCTGATTTTGCTTTGGAACTTGGAAGTTCTTACGTTAGTCAAATGTATTGTCACATGACTCACCTGCAAATCCTTTACATGCAATGTATATTAATTATAACCTAACAATATGCATAAGACAACACACTCTTCCTTAATGTTATTATTCTATTTCTGTATTGTCTTCTAGTGGCGTGTTTGTTGACTCACTTCACTCACTGTTTCAATTTTTTTTCAGTAGAATATCAATGAAACACCTGTGAAATAATTTAATATCTGATAAACACTTGGACCATTGAATACTTGTTAAATAAGAACTTCACTTGTTAATTGTTAATATTTCCTTGTCAGCAATCCTTTTATGAAATTAAATTGCTTGCAAGGTCCTTCATTGATATTCTCCCCTTTTTTTGTAACATTGAGTTTAGATGAGTTGGGTCTGATAGGCACACTTCATTTACGAATATTTAGAGATTATTCAGCAACAAAGTTTTCACTTTAGCAACAAAATTTAATTCATAATCTTATGAGTTATGACTTAAATTCTTACTAATTGGACTAATTTTTAAGGTGACTTAGAGTTTCATATTTAAATGAAAATACCTGACCCTATGCCTAATCACAAAAGTTTTCTCCTTTTTTGTTATATATATATATATATATAAATGGCTTCCTTGATCAACTCATCATTACAAGAAGCACATCCTCTAAGTCAGCAAATCAAGACCATGAATTTCTTCTGCAACAACTCAATCATTGTCCTTATCTTTTCCATTGCAATACTCATGCTTTCCCTTTGGGTTAATGTGTCCTTAGCTAGGACCCTCCCTCACACACACCCACCTTCTTCTTCTTCATCTTCTTCTTTGGATCACAACAATATGTCTTCATCTTCATCATCTTCTCAAACTTTCTCACACAGCAAACAAGGGCCAAACTCAGCTCATGATCAGCCTGCTATGGTTGCTGCTAGCCTCAGAAGGATTCCACCAAGCAGACCAAACCCTACTCAGAACAGGTAATTATTATTATTATTATTTACATTTTCTAAGTTTAAGTGTCCTCCCATGCCTTCGCATATGAAAAATAGGATCGTCTCTAAAGTAACTTTAATACTTGATTTGGATGGAGAGAAAAGTGAGAAGAAAATAAGGAAGAGAGAAAATTTTCTCAAAAATAATATTTTTACTATTTCTGGGAGTTTTCCCTCCTAATTTTTTGCCCTCCCTATTTTTCCTCCATTCAAATCAAGGGTAAGTGACTTAGAGAGAGGAGCTAGAACTTACTTCCATGGGAGCTCAAAGTAACAAAGTTGAAGATCCTCTCTCTCTCTCTCTCTCTCTCTCTCTCTCTCTCACATTTTGACTTTTCATATTTGATTAAAAGGGGTTTATTTATGAACAGGTTAAGGCCTGGGGCAAGAGCTTAGAGTGAGGAACTTTAATTTGATGGAGCTCATGAAGATGTTTCAGACAAAATATATGAAGATGCAGCAGGAATATTATTACATAGGAACTGTTTGTTGCTCCAGTTTTGGTTCGTGAATTTTAAGCTCGATGGTGTCGTATAATGATATATATATATATATATATATATATATCTTAGATTCCTAGATTTCTATGTGTGGAACTGGAAGTGGTTGGTAAGGTAAGAATGTTTCACTATTATGTTTTTTTTCTTTTTGGTAGTAGTTTGATGCTTTAGGCTACAGAGTACAGTAGGGTTACAAGAATGTAAGTACAGGACTTTCAAAGTTGTCACTTTTTTTTAAATTCTGATTCATGTAGTTGTGTTTCATTATGTGTATATATTTAAAGGAAGAATGATAATAAGGTCTTAAAATAAAAAAATAATTACAATTAGATTCCTGAAAAAGAATTTAAAAAATAAATTGTAAATATTAATTTAGATAACTTGCAAATAAGAATTACAATTGCAGCCTGAAAGCTATATTTAGAATTTATATATTTTATTTGTAATTTGAACTCTTGAATTTAACTGTTTAAATCAATATTTTTAGTTAATTTTTTAAATTTTTTTATTGAAAATCTAACCTTCATTATTTTTTATTTTAAAATTTTATTCTCATTCTCCCAATATGTGAATTTCTGTAATGCTCCAATAACAGTTTTATATATATATATATATATATATAATTAGAAGAATTGGCTGACATGTTTTAAATGACACCTGAAATAAGTTGTACTATTTATCTACAAATTAAATAATGCAGGTTCTTTTCTATTTTAAATTGAAAAGATAGATATGGGTTTTTGAATTTCTGAGCAATCATTTTGATTTATGAAATTAGTTTAAAAAAAAGCATGATGTCGAGTTAAAGATAATAAATACATAAGTGTATTTATACTTTAAAATACTAATAAAAAATTTCATTATTTAAGAACAAAAATAAAATTATAAACATTATTTTTATTACTCAAGGAATGAGTAGTAAATGTAGGTATCTTTTCCTGTAGGAGTTTGAATCTTAATTTATTATATTGTGAGGGATTAGCTTTTTTAGCTAGATCTAATTCTTATTTGCATGAAAATATTTTAATTATAATTGTTATTTTAAGAAATTGAAATAATTATAATTATACTTAGTACGCTAAAATGCATAAAATCCTCCTGAATTTTGACATAGTTACATATGACATTTTTTATCTTTCAATATTTAAAATTAATCCCCTAATTTTTAATTTTATTTTTTCAAAACCCACTATCATTAATTAATTATTATTTTATTGATATAGTTATTGTCATGTCATATTAATACAATATACATGGCACAAGACATGAAAAATATTTTTTATTATTTTTAACACAATTTAAGGAGGGGTAAAATTGTAATTTTAATTTTTAATACAAATGATGATGCTCTCATTATTTTTTAGTTGAGTGAAATTATTCTCATCATTTACAAGTAATACAATTTAAAAAATTATAATTTGTTATTCTTTATCAATTAAACCAATCTTTTATATTAAGCAAATGAAAAAAAAATACCTAAAAGCTACCATTGATAAGAGCCATATAAATTTCATTATTTATACTTTTATTTGTTTGTACTTGTTATATTCTTCTTTGAATGAAATTTTCAATACTTATTCAAGTAAAAAAAAATTATGACAACTTTTAGATTTTTTTATTAGTTTAATATAAAAGGCTACTTTAATTGATAAAGAATAATAAAATTATAATTTTTCCTTAAATTGTGTTTTCCATTAATAATAAGAACAATATTGCTTAACTAAAAAATAATAGCATCGTCATATATGTTAAAAATAAAAATATAATTTTTTCCCTCCTTAAATTGTGTTAAAAATAATAAAAATATTTTTTCATGTCATGCGCCATGTGTATTGTATTAATATGAAGTGACAATAACTATATTAACAAAAAAATAGTTAATTAATGGTAGAGGGTTTTGAAAAATAAAATTAAAAATTGGGGAGATTTATTTTAAACGTTTAAAGGTGAGAAGGATCACATAGCTACCTCAAAATTTATGAGATTTTATACATTTTAATCTAATTATAATAAATGAGAAAAAGTGAGTTAAGTTATAAGTAAGAGAGGCACTTAATTATAATGTATATAAGTTTTTCGAGACAATTCATGGAAAAAGTTGTGAGTAAAAAGCAATGATTTAAAAATTAAAATGAACTGAATGGTTAGACCGTCATTCAAAGTTATTAATAGCTCGGTTTGGATCGAAAAATTATTTTTATGATTGACTCATATTGAACTAAAGTTGAGTCATTATTAAGCTAGAAATTAAAGTTGAATAAAAAATTAGAGCGATTTTTAAAAAACGGGATGGTTTTAAACATAAGATTGAAAAAAGTTTAAAAATTAAAAAAAATAAAAAAATTTAAAAATTAGATCCTGTTAAAAGCCAACTTTATTTTTGAACAATTTATATGTATACAATATAATTTGAAATCCTTTTTTATAAAGATATTAACAATTATATATGTAAATACAAATACTTTTAAGTGTACTCATATTTAATTTAATTAAAATTCACTTATATTTGATAAGTTATAAAATTATAATTTATAACACTACTAAAATACAGTTATGTTGTGCCATTTTATTAACATGTTATATATTTTTTTTCTTGTATTTATTTTATATATATCTTTAATATTATTTTTATTTAATTATTACATTAGCAATTCAACCATTGATCCTATTGGGTTGGATCCTACAAATCATAAATTGCTAATTTTTTTAGTTTAATATTCAATCTGATTTTAAAAATATTGGTAAAAAGGTCATTAAAATTTGATAATATTATTTATTTTATACGCGCTTTGCTTAAAGTTAAAAAAATTAATGTAAACTTCTTTAACGGTACTGTGTTACTCTCGACTCTCGTTACTTGTGGGCCCAGTACACTTTAGGCTAACATTATGGGTTTTGAAAGTCCGTTTAGTTTAAATTTGGTCAATTTTTCAAATTCAGCTCGTTTATCTTTAACAAATATTTTTAATTTTTAATGAGGTTTTTTTTTAAAAAAAAACAGAGAAATGATTGAGTTGGTGCATACGTTTCAAAACTAATAAGAATGGATGAGGCAAAGTCTAAGTAACTTATACTCACAATTGATTGATTGATTGATTTGAACAAAAACTCCCAAATCTATTTCTGGAGTTATGATCACACTATGAAAGAGTGAATTGGAGAGACTAGCCAGAGAGTTGAACGAAAAAAATGGGGACAAATATTTACAAAATACTCCTTCTATCACAATTTATAAAACATTTTTAAACAAATTATATACATACTAATGAAATCCATCAAATTCAATTTACAATTTTAATTTTGTTTATAAATTTTCAAGAATATTCTTATTTAGCAAAATAATGATAGATAAAATTGAACTAATCATCATTAATTAAATCTTATCCTTTTCAAAATGCATTATATTTTGAAAAAAAAATTAACCATGTTAAAATTAAAAAAATTAAAAAAATATTTTATAAAATTAAAGGAGTACACTAAGATTTCATGTACATTTAAAATAAAACAGTTGCACTTTTGGCTTCTAAAATTTATTATCCTTCAAAGAAAGTTAATATATTCTTGGGAAAAAGACAAAAATTTATTTAAATTATATAAATAATAATTTAACTCTTCAAAATGTCATAATTTCATTAAAAATTTTATAGACTTTTCTGTTATTAATAAATTTATAAAAATGATAAAATTGCCCTTATTAAAAGTAAAATGATCATAAGTTTTCTTTAAATAGTCACAATTTTTTATTTTTATATTCACAATAATTCAACAGTAAATTACAACTTTGAGTGTCAAATTTTTTATATTGCTACAAATGTTAAAAATAACACTTAATAATCCTAAGTTTTATTTAAATGTTTATAACTTTGCTTCTTACATTTACAATAATGCAATAATAAATTACAACTTCACATGTCAAATTCTTAATATTGTTACAAGAGCAATTTGATTATTTATATAAATTCATTAATGATAAAAAAGTCTTAAAAGATTTCAGTGAAATTATGACATTTCAAAGAATCAAATTATCATTTATATAATTTAAAGAGATTTTATTGTTATTTTTTCTATATTCTATCACCAAACGAAAAAAAGAAAGCTCATATTTCTAAGATTTTAAGTTTTAACACAAATATGTTTTTCAATTTATTTTTGTTGACAACATTCTGATGGATCTATCTATCATCTATTGGAATGTCATATAATTGAGAACAAGCTTTATTGAAAATGGTATAATAATTTCATTAGCATGGTATATCATATCATAACAACATGATATAATAGTATATGATGAAAAAGCACAATTGAAATCTTTTTGATGAGGACATGAGGTTGATTGAAAATTCAACCGACTACTTCCTTCAATATATGATATAGAGCAAACCACGAGCATTTGGATCAACTAGTAAGAATTATTCCAGCTTAATTAGAGGTTTTGAGTTCGAGTCATGAAAATGCAGCAGTGTAAGTAGCCACGGGATACCCATTCTTGTGGTGCTTGTCATGCCTTAATTTAGATTAGTCTAAGCCTCGTTAAGTCCTCACAGCTTGAGTGGGGCAGGCTCAGGACATTAGGTGTTCATACAAAAAAATATATAATAAAGAGCATTGTTTAGAGACTCAGCTTAATTATTCATTATTCTTTTTAAAAAACAATATCTTAAAATTTTAATTGTTATCATTGAATCACCTTATATAAAATATTTAATGAGTATATAATAAAAAATATGTACATTCCTTAAAAAAATATTAATTTCAACTAACTTTTCCAAAATAATTACCAATGACTTACATATGAACTAAAAGTAATGTATTAAATTTATTTTGGAAAAATCACATACAAGGACTTGGAAAAAAAAATATTCACAGACAATGATTAATAACAAGTTTCATTTGAAAAAAATAAATTATATTTTTATTTTAATAACAATTCATTTTGTATTAATCTTTATTTATAAATAACTGTCTTTGAAAGTCTTTAGATGTAATTCTTTCATTTATTTTTGACATTATCCTATGGTGCGTTTATCAATTTCTTCTTCTTTTTCTTTATTGATATGACCATGGTCAAAACCATGCAATTACAAATAAATGAGGATACACCTAAAACGTAAAGAGCCCCTACAATTTAGTGGTGGTACATTACAACCCTACTATATTAAATTATTATAATATAATATCAACTTGATAAGCCAACCAGCACAATAATTTGTTTCTCTCCAAGTACATGATTAATGGAGACCTTCCAATCACACGTAAGATTTCTGATTCTTCTATAATAGAATTGATAAGATGACGGTTAGGTGCGTTTCTCCTATAACGTGTTTACTCAAGTCTTATTTCACTTCCCCATGCAATGGTTTCTTCCTCATCTCCCAACCATAATTCAATCAGTTTCATTCCTTCTTTGAATTTACCATTTTGTCCCTCACTCTCCTTCTCTCTTTCTTTCTTTCTCATCCTATTTAATTTCTTCCCTAATGCCCTTTTGCAAATAGTACTTCATTATTCTTATTACTCCATTCTCTCTCTCTCTCTCTCTCTCTCTCTCCCTTCTACTATTCTCATTTTCTCAGCAATAATAATAATGGAAGTAGAAGTGATTGATCTCACAAACTCTCCTCCATCTTCCCCAGAAAATATAAAGCCATATAAACCCTCAAGAATCATCAAATTCACAGCTTATATTTTTTCCAGGAAAATTCGATTCAAGGTCAAGAAATCTTGCTTACCCTCTTCCTCCACGTTTAACCCTAACCCTAATCCTGCCAATTCGGGAACTTCCTTGTTTTCTCAAGCTACCGATGATCAGCTTAATTGGACTCCTAAGGAGCATCAGTATGTTTTATTTTCATCATTATATTCTTTCACATTCTTGTCTTATTAAATTATTGCTTCCAAATTCTATCTTCCATTGCAATTGCAATTGCTTGTTCTCTGGTTAGTTTCTCTAGTTTTCATCATATCTTGTTATAATTGTTCTCCTTCCACTCCTATATATAAGCCATTTCTAACTATTTTATCAGTATCAGAGTTTTATATTAATCATGAATTAATACTTGTTAATTACACCAAGATAGCTTAAACTACTTTGGAAGGACTTGCCACACACTTATATAGTTATGATTAATTCTCTAATATATCACACAATGTAGGATTATCCATACATCTAATATTTTTCTCATTATTTTTTCTCACTTCTTTTCTGTTTTTTTTAAAATATCAATCAATTTTTTTCAAGTTTCAAATTGGCCTCACTCTGATGTCATATTAATTAGTCTTATTACATTAGTCATAGATTAATGTATCACTTAAGCCAAACTAACTTAAGCTACTTTGGAAGGATTCATCATATGCTTATATAGTTGTGATTAATTAAGTGTGTTAAAGTGTAATTTTGTCCTTAAATTATTCTTTGAGAAGCATCCAGTGTCTTAAACTATTTATCATAACCCTTAAAATAATTAAAACATAAGATATTTACTCCAATGTTAAATAATCCAACATTGACTATTAAAAATGCTAATTAAAACTTGAGTTTAATTGAAAATGTTATTTGTCATATCAAGTGGATTCAAGTTAAATATGCATTTTTGCTCTTGAACTATTCCTAAGAGGAGTGCCTAGTATTCTTGTAGCAATTTCACCTCTAAAGTAATTAAAATATTTTAAAAATGTATCTTACTTGAATTCACTTAGCATGGCATGTGGTATTTTTAGTCAAATTCAAGTCCAAGTCAACATTTTTAATAGTCAATGTTGGAATATTTAATGTCACAGGCAAATCTATAAAATTTTAATTGATTATTATAACAAATAGTTTATAAGAATGGGTGCTCCTTAGAGAATAATTTAGGGATAAAAATATACATTAACCCTAACTAATTCTCTAATCATTCAATGTAGGACCATCCGTACACCTAATAACCAGAACTAAGGAGATGTATAATTAAATTATTGATACTACCTGAAAAAGATAGAAAATTTCCAAAATTTAAAAATATTTTTCTCTCGTGTAATTTTTTATTCAACCTATTTACAATCTGCAACATCACACACATGACTAGCTACTACAAAGAGTTACGGTGAGTTTTGTAACGTTGACAACAAGTTATGATAATAATCTACGTTATTAATTATCAACCTCTAGTCATCACCACGATATCATGCATGAACAATATGTATGTATGTATGTATGTATGTATAGATAATTCGATATATTTACTTATGTGACAGGCAATTTTTGATGGGGCTGATGAAGTGTGGAGTAGGTCGATGGAACAAAATCGCCAAGAAGTTTGCGAAGAACAAGACAGCAAGACAAGTTGAGAGACATGCCACCAATTTCTTCATCAGTTTCCTCCAAACGCATCTCTCTTCTAATAATGATCTCATGAACACATTGGCCTCTGCTTTGAAACCAAACCCTCAAAATAAGATGCAAGAAGAAGAAGATCATGTGGGCCCACTCCCACCACGAACCCTCATGCTCTTCTCAGATAATGGAGAATCTAGCAGCACCAGTGAGATCTCTGGGATGATGAACACGACAAGAACATCATCACGTGTTGCTGATGATCACGATGATGATGATAATGGTCAAGTTGATTTAGAGCTGCGTTTGGGTTGAATCTTGAAGCTGATGATCTCGATCGGGTGTCATGTATGTTCATGCACCGTGAAATATATAGTAAATAAGGGTCATTTAGCCATGTTTTGTTGGAATATTTTATGAATTATATTATGAATATTTAAGTAATTATGAGTTTGAGTAATTCAGTTATGTTATTTAATTGAGTCCAAAATAAATTGATCTTTATAAATATTTGCATATGTACAGGGGCAAGCAGGGTTCTTGCCCCCATGCATCATATGCCTCTTAGTAAAAATTATACTTTTTGCTTGTAAAATAGTTTAAAATGGATTTTGGCTTCCCGTTCTTTATTTTCTTTTCAATTTGACCCTCTCAACTAGTGAACTCTAAATCTATCCCTGCACATAAGTAAACCTATTGAGCAGACACCCAATGTACTTTTACCACTTTTTAGTTGTCACTTTTATCATTATCACAAAGCTGAATTAGTCATCAGAGAGCTTATAGGAGAATTAATTAATTAACTTATTATACTGAAGTGGTAACCAATCTAATCTTCAACAAGTTCAATATCGATCTCATCATGTTTAACATACTCATTCTCTTTGTTTTCTCTTATACTGCGCTCATTCTTTTTATAAGGGTCTAGTAAATTGTGAATTTGCATACTTTTGAGGTATGGCAAGATCCTTACTTAAATTGATATTTTTTTCTAACTTGCAGGTATGTTGGTTAAACCTAACTCTAATTTTTTTATTTAATTATTGAGATATTTTCATTTTCAAAATGTTTGGTGCACGAAAAAATAACTTTAAAAAAGAAAATAGAAAATACGTTTAGATAGAAAATGAGATAAACGCATTCCTCATTTCCTTTTATATGTGTATGTTAATTGTCTGTGATTTTTTATTTGCTTATGTTTATTTGGCTGTATTTGATAGTTGTTTATGAGTAAGGACTCAATTATAAAGTTATTGTGTGTTTTTCCAACAAATGTTTACGTACACTTGAACGTAAGGACATTCATGTCATTTCGCGATTCAAATCTTTTAGATAGAAAAATTTTCCGGTGCGTACAAGATACTATCCTCCGATTTTTTTTTTTTTTAGTATTTTTGTGGAACATTTGATATTTGGTGCAACAGATCCATATTTGAGTAGTTTACAATCCTTTACCCACTTCTTTTTTGTTATTGTTCCAAAAACTCAACCGTATTGTCAGGGTGAGGGCCCATTTGTAAAAATAGGCCCATTTAGTGATACTAAATCTCAAATCTAGTGCAAACCCCTTTCCATCCATGCACACTTTTATTATCAAATAGTAGAAAGAGCATAGAGTTCGATTCATAAAATTGCATAAGGGTATTCAATCTGAACCCGTCTCGATTATATCGGGACGGGTCTTGTCCCAACTCAAAAATAATCAGGACGAGACTTTATGAAACGGGACAGGAAAGGGGTTCAGGACAGGACGAGACACGGGATTATCATCGGGACATCCCGTCCCGTCCCGAATAGTATATATATTATTTTTTATTTTAAATATATTAATTATATTAATATAATTTATACTTATATTAATTATATCAATTATAATTTTAATACTTACAATTCTTATTTAAAACTAAAGTTTTTTTATATTGATAATTTTAATGGTATGGAGTAAACATGGCGATATTTTTTTATAATATATTAATTATATTAATATAATTTATTCTTATATCTATCTATTTAATAACTTTTATTTATAACATATTTCTTGCTTATTTTTAGAAGAGTAATTAGCTTAGTACATCTTCACTAAAGTAGAAGAACAATTATTTGATATTGTATTTGACTTGCTTGTTGTTGCAAATCTTATAGCATAAAGATCACTTATATTTTTTATTATAATATGTAGTTGTGATTAATATAATTCAATAATTAATTTTAAATTATTGTTATTTATGTACTTGTGTTATTTTGATTTTAAACTTAATAAATTATATAATTTAAAATTTTAATGAACATTATTATCCAGATTTTTTTTGATATTATTTCATTTATCGGGACGACGGGACGTCCCGATCTTGTCCCGGTCCCGTCCCGTGTAACATCCCAATATAAATTTTAATAGTTAATTTGGGTTAATAGAAAATTAAAAAAAATAATTTAAAAAAAAATAAAAAAATAATAATAAAATAATATTATTAAATTATTATTATAATAAAAAAAAGGTGTAAAAACAAGAAAGAAAGGAAGAAGAAGAAGAAAACGAATTTGCTTCGTCCGCCGCCTCAACAGTAACAGTAATAAAATAATAATAAAAAAAAAGAAGAAGAAGAGAGAGAAAATAATTAAAAAAAATGTGGACCCACTGAATTTTTATAAAAACTCACCTGTTCCTTCATTTCTTCATTCCTTCTTTCGTGCGTGAGCTTCGGCAGAGAGAGCATCTGTGAGCCAAATTCACCGGTGCAGGGTTTTAAGGTAAGAGTTTTTAATAGGATATTTAGGATGTGATTTTAAGCTTTTCAAGACTAAGTAAGTGTTCTAAAATTTTTCTAGTCATCCTTTTTCTTTTGTTTCTGAGTTTGTAGTGGTAGAAAATTTAAGATCTGGAAGAGGGATGAATTTATGTTGAATAAATATGTTTTTGAGGTTGTTAGTAGTATAATAAATATTCTAGAGTATAAATTTATTGGTGATCTTTGAATTTGTGGCTTATGGATCAAATTCTAGACTAGATCTGAAAATATATGTTGATTTATTGAGGTTTAGATGATTATTTGGGATGAGAAATGAATTATTATGGCTATAGGATTATGATTCTAAGCTAGAGACTTAATTTTTAATTTTTGAGTATTTTAGGTACGAATTTATGAAATAAAAAGAAAATTTTGATAATAGAAATTAGTTTAGAAGTTGATTTTTAGATTATTAATGTTTATTGATAATTAAAAGAGAAGTTAAAAATTTTACTTAATAGTATTAACTATAGATTTGTATTAAGATTGAAATTAGGAATTATATTATATTTTTAATTCTATTATTAGAATTATTTTATTAGTTTCAAAAATTGAAACTAATATTTATAAATAATATGTTATTTGTAGATTGTATTACTGGTGAAGATTGTGGTGAGAGAGAAATTTTAAGGAATAATTTATTAAAAAAGCCACAAGGTAACCATGCTTTTAATTTGTGATTAGTGTTACTTCATGTTAATTGGGTGATTATTGAGAAAATTATGAATTTTGTAATATGTATAATTGTGCAATATTATTATGAATTTGTTTGATTATTGTGGGAGGTGTTGGGAGACTTGCTATTGTTGTTGTATTTATGTGCCACGTGGTACGCCCCTATTGGAGCTCAATAGGTGGCTTGTAAGGGCTCGGGCTAATCTACCTTTGGCCGGGTAATTTAGCACCGAGTGAGGGCTACGGCTCGAGGTTAATGGAGGGATATAAGGATGGTTGTTTGTATTTATTATAATATTCCTTATATTTGTTGGAATTATATTATTTTTAATTCTCACTTAGTAAGCACACACTTAACTGTTTGTATACACTATCATAAATTGGCTTTGGTTACTGGGACTTTTGAGTCTCATTATGTGGTTAACAATTTTCAGGAGAAGAGCCACGAGTGACACGTGGAGGAGTCCCAGAGGCTTAGTGGTATAGATCCACTGTCTCTTTTGGGTATTTAATTTATGATTTATAATGTGTTATATTGCCAATATTAGGGCTTTTTGTTTATTGTCAATTATATGAATATATAAATGTAATCATGCCTTTCAAACTATTTCTATTTTTAGTACAATTTGGATGACTGTAATTTTAATATTTGGTTTACTTTGGATTGGTTAAAATGGCATGATTATAAGGCCAAATAACTGGCTTGTGTTGAAAATTTATTAAATTGCTTATTTTACTTGTTGGGAGTATAAGGATGGACAAATGTGATTTAGTTTACTTGTTGGGAGTATAAGGATGGACAAATGTGATTTAGCCTAATGGCATGTGGGAGTTAAAAATTTATCTGAAATGTTAATTATAAAATATTTTATATTGAAATTATTGATATAAAAATGTGTTGGGTGGCTGTAACCCAATTATGGTTGAGTTAAATTATTTTAAAAAAAAATTTTGGTGTGTTACATCCCGACTCTTAACCGGACGGGATGGGACACGGGACCAAAATTCAGTCCCGATTTTTTTTTGGGACTGGACACGGGATGGGGGTGTCCCGGTCCCGTCTCGTCCGTGAACACCCCTAAAATTGCGCATGAGAAAATATCACTTTGAGAGAGGATAATCTTTTAAATAATGTTTAAATTTTTTTAAGGGATTAGTCTCATGCCTTTTGAGTGTAAGGATACCTTGGTCAACAAAATAAAGTACAAAGAGGAAAAAATTGTTTTACCAAAATAGAGGAAAAATAATAACAACAACAACATAAACATAGAAGGATTGAAGTGTTTAACTTATTATAAATTATTATTTTTTGTACTAAATATAACGAGTAGGCTTTGCATAGTAAATAATATCTCTTTTGAAATATTGAGAGTAATAAGTAGACATCTCTCTCCTAAATCACTGCATGCATAATGACTATGATTTGAATTCTTAGTTACTTGTTTAAGTGGCCCTCTATTATTTATATCAACTTTAATTGATTTCTAACTCATTACTATTGATTGAGCAAACATGTCTTTACCTTAAAAATAATAATAATTTTTGGATTGACATTTGAAATTGCAAGAGTGGAAAAAAATTATAAGAACTACACAAGATTCTACATTTTACATTCGACAAAATTTCTAAAAAATATTTTATATTATATGTCAGATATAGTATATTTGTAAGTTGTTAGGGAGTGATCTATAATTGTACTTCGAGTACATGAAAAGAAAATTAAGAAAATGTATTAAAAATACTTGTGACCTTAAGCCTTAAGGTAATATTTGGTATTGAAAAAAATGTTTTTTTTAAAGGAAGAAAACTATATTGCCTTCTTAATGTGTGTTTAGTTTTTAATTTGTTAAAAAT